GACGTGAGAGGGTGAGGACAGGAGCTAAGTCCTGGTCCTAGCTCTGGCTGTCCCTGGGAATGCCCCGGGGGCACGGGGTGGTGCGGGAACAAGTCCCTCCTCAGCCCAGGACACCTGCACGCTCACCCCTCCCTAGACCTTCCAGGCCCCACCCCATCCTAGTTGATGCTTTGAGTCTAAGGACAGTGACTAGGGTGGCCCCTGGCTCTTTCCCTGACCCTTCCTGACCCTATCTTCTTATCTCTGACCTTCTCACCCTGATCTGTGGGATTCCTTTGAATGCGCCTCCCTCCTCCTCTGAAGAGTGATCTATGGCCCTGAGGTCAGTCCCCCGAGGCCCCAGTGTCCTTGCTGCATTGCCTCATCAGAACCTACTGTCCTTCGCTCATACCAATCATTTAAAGGGAAACAGGCCTGCTCTGACTGAGGTCACTGTGTGACTCAGGGATCATGGCCTTGGGAGGTAAAAACATGAAGTGCCGATGGTGAAATTTCGGGCATCGGTGTGTGGTGGTGACATGCAGAGGCTTGAGGACAGAAGTTCCAGAGGCTGGTGTCCCCCAGAGCACAGCGGGCAGGGATGAGCAGGAGGTGCAGGGATCTGGGTGGCCCTGTGTGCTGAGGGGTGCACGCACGCACACACTCCTGGCCTCTAAGCCCGACAAGCAGGCATCCCCACAGGGCAGCTTTGCTCCCTACCTGTCCCCTCAGTTGGGGATTCCCAGTTGAAAAGCACCTTGGCAAGGCCTGCCACACAACAGAACAATGCAAGCCGTCCATGAAGCAGATCTAGAGCAACAGCCATGGGTTTCGTGTTGACGTGGGCGTGGAACCAGGCTCTGGCCACTGCTGTGGACCTATGGTGCTGGGGGTGTAAACTGAACCACCTGGGGACACTGGCAGAATCAACTAACTCGTAACATGTATGTGCCCTGTGACCTAGCAAGGCCACTTCTGGGGATACACGAAGAGCAATGACAGTTTATGACCTCCAAATGGCGTGTACAAGAATGTTCATAGCAGTGTTATTCATAATGACCTCGGATGGAAATTGGGACAAGTGTCCCATGGAAAACTGCTTAACAATGACAAAAGGCAATAGTGTCAATAATGACACTTTTTTTTTTTTTTGAGATTTTTTTCCAGTACTGGGGCTTGAACTCAGGGCCTGCATCTTGAGCCACTCCACCAGCCCTTGTGGTGAAGGGTTTTGTTGAGATAGGGTGTCAAGAACTATTTGCCTGGGCTGGCTTTGAACCGCAATCCTCCTGATCTCTGCCTCCTGAGTAGCTAGGATTACAGGCGTGAGCCACCGGCGCCGGGCTGGGCATGGCTTCTTAAAAAGGTGAGGAAGATGTTTCTATCTCACTGTGGGGAGAGCAGTAAGGGAGGAGTGTGTACACTGCGTGCACAAGGCAGGGTGCTCTGCCTTCGTCTTGACACCCGGGGTATCCTTCAGTTTGCCCTTCCAAGAGGGTAAATTGGGGTGGACAGAAGGGAAGCACACACACACACTCTTTACAATTTTAACGCTCAAGAGGCTCCAGAACCCAGAGGCTACAGGGAGTAGAAAATCTAATTGTCCCCAAATTTCAGGTCATTGTGTTATTTCCAAAGAGCATTGTTTGTCCTTTGCTGGGCACCTCAGGCTGGCTGGAAGCAGCTTCAAACTCCTTACCTCACCTCACTCTTACGTCCCTCCTCATCCTCTTGGCTGTCTGTTGCCCCTTTGGGGAATATACAGGCTGTATTGTGGAGGCACGGTTAATTGCTCCTGATGGGCAGAAGTGTGGCCTGCATGGACCCAGGGGACCCATCCTCCTTCTGGCTTCACACTTCCCTGGAGAAGTATCTAAGCTGGTCATGAAAGATTATAAAATGTGTTCTTTGCTATCTAAGTTTTTTTAAGTGCAAAGGAGAAAGTGAGGACTACCCTTATTCTAACTCCCAGAAATTCCCTCATGGTTGCTTCTTTTTTTCTAGATAGTGCTTGTATTTTAGACAGCTCCTCTGCTTGTCTGGGTCTTCCTCACTTGTAAGCTGGACTAAACTAAATACTGCTTATTGTTGTTTTTCTTTGTGTTAAAATAATTTGTAGTCACCTCAGCATTTTTGGTGGGGGGACTGGAGTTTGAACCTAGGCCTTTGCCTTTCCAAAGCTGGTGCTTTACCACTTGAGCCACACCTCCAGTCCATTTTGCTCTGGTTATTTTGGAGATGGAGTCTCAAGAACAATATATTTGCCAGGGGTGGCCTCAAACCACAATCCTCCTGAACTCAGCCTCCCAAGTAGGATTCTAGGCATGAGCCAGCAATTAGATGGGCACAATGTAGCTTCATCCCCACCAACTTTGCTCTTGGGTACATTTTCATGGAAATACATCCTAGACCATATTTTGCCCCATATGTAAACATCCATGAGTAAGGAGGCACCAAATGACCTTACAATTCTGTGTAGTTCAAAGAAGTTCACCCTCTCTGCCCTCAGGCACAGCCAGCAGCATCAGGGATGAACGGTCACTCCTAGGGGGACAACATTCCTTTGACGGCAAGTACAGGAGCCCAGTGGTTAGCCTGGGTGTGAGGCACTAAACTTTGATTGACTTTTTTTGGGCAGAGCAGTACTGGGGATTGAACCCAGGGCTTTGCACATGCTAGGCAAGTGCTCTCCCACTTCAGCTACACCCCCAGCAGTTTTTTAAAATGAATTCTCATACATTACTAATGCGAGGGGACATACATGCATACAGTTTGGTTTTTTTTTTTTCAGATACAACTTTACATATAGTAGTTCAGGTGCACAAACCTTTAAGTTAAGTCTCCTTGAATTTTTGCATTTATATCCATCCGTGAAACTTTCGCCCAGGTCAAAATGCAGAATACTTCCAGTGGCACCGAGGTGCCTCACGCCCCTTCCCAGTCCCTGCCCCTGCTCCACAAACTGTGCCTGTTCTTCACCGTCATGTAAGTGGAGTCCCACGGCTCATGCTCCCCCCACCTGGCTTCTCAGCTCTGTCTTGGAGCGCCATCATGTTTGGATTGGGACACTTTGCTGTCCTCCAGGGCTCTAAGTAGGTCTGCAGGTCTGTGGAGAGAAGGAAGGGCCGGGTTCCTGGTTCTGGTCCAATGTCCCCTTTTCCTGTTTTGTGATGCTCAGTGCCTCTACCCCGCCCCTCTCCCCTCCACCTGTGGAAAGAGCCTAGGGCCCAGCCTTCTATACCTACCACACTCCCCCAAAGACCAGACACCTCTGAGGACACTGTCACTGTCTTCTTTAGACATCTGGGACTTTCCTCAGGTCTATCCTTCAGCCTCCTCTCTCCTTGACCACTCTGCTTTCTGCCTTGGGGGGCTCTAGTGCCCCCCTTTCACTGCCACCTGGTCCTATCTTTCTCTTGAACTCCAGGCCCAACTCTCATCTGCTGGCTGGAGTTTTTTTTCTGATGTTCCATAGGCAACATAAACTCACCCCAAATTAAACTCTTCCTCTTTCTTCCCAAACCACTCACTCATCCCTCTAGCCACCCAGCAAAGCTGTCTCAATGCCCCTGCCTTTTCATTCTGAAGCCAAGCAGTGGCCACGCTCTCTCCAATTCAAATCCTTCAATGGATGCCTGGCCCTGGCTCCAGGGTCCTTTATTACGTCAGTCTCAGAGTGGCTCAGAGAAGCGACTGTCATACTCAAGGTCACACAGCCAGTGAGGAACAGATCACCTTACCGCCTTACTAGTATCTAGCCAAGTGGGCTGTCACTCAGTGACTGGAGTTGCAATGTACACAAGAACTTCCTAAACCAGGGCTTGGCCAAGTGGCTCCATGGCTATACCTCTTCGGCCTGTTAAAATACCACCCATCTGGCTTTTTTTTCCTTTATTTCCCAAGTACTTTCCAGGATGGCTTTATAATTGCACTCTAATATTTTGTAATTGCCTACGTAATTCAAAATACAACTCGTAGGAAAGATTTTTAAGCTCAGTTTTCAAGGTTTGAGTTAATTGCTTCTTCCTTCGAAAGCTTTCATTACTCCCCAAACATCTCTCTTCCAAACTCCTCCACATCGGGGTCCCTCATATGGTCTTCATTTAGGGTTATCTGCCGTCTTATGTATCAGGTCAAGTGCCTCAGACCACTGTGTGTACCTGTGTACCCACAGCATGTGATACAAGAGTCATCAGCACATTGGAGGCAGTCTGTCAGTATTTTGCCACATTGAGAACTTTCACACACTAGTGTGACCTGAGACCTGTGTCCACCACTCTAGAAGCACAGAAGCCAGACTTAACCAGAGAGGATGGGATAGGGAAGGCTGCAACCTAGCAGCCTGTCCCTGGGAACTCTCTCTGCTTCTGCTCGTCCTGATGTCTCTTTCCAAACACAAGTGATGAGCAGCCTTAATGTGGTATGGAGTCCACAGAAAGCCTTGACCAGATCCCCATCCCAGGATTCAGTCACCATTTCTTAGCTGGCTGATCTTGGTTAAGTCTTATTTAATCTTACTGGTCTGGGTCCTGGTTTCTGTAAAATGAAGGCCAGACAGGGTCAAGGATCCCTTTCAGATCGAAAAGGAATCAGGTTTGTGTTATCCAGGGTCCCAGTGATCCATCTACAGAACCAAACAGCAACACTGGCAAAGGAAATTTGAGATTCCTAGTCTCAAATGCAACAACCTTGGTAAAGAGGTGCTAGAGATGCTCAAAGAACCATGTATGTGGCTCCTAAAGGAACAGAACTCCTAAAGGAACATGGCCACAGAGATGCCAAGGTGTGGGAAGTGAGTTGGACCTTCTACAGCTCCTAAGTGGCACTATTTTGGGGAAAAGGGCACTGTTTGGGGGAAACAAAGTCAGAGCTCATTTTCCTACCCTTCCCAGAGGTTGAAGAGACAGACAGAGCCCTCTCCAGTCAGACAAGCCCACTTCTAATGGTCCAGTCTTTTGAGGAAGTGGTAGGCAGTAGTGGAGAGGCCCAGTGATCACAACAAACACAGGATAGTAACTGTGGCCCATTGGAACATTTATTTCTCAAAGAGAAAATAAGTTTCCGACAGTCATATTATAGTAGGTAAAATTAACTTTTGTATTCTTTACAGGCATAGATTTTTCTCTGTTTATTACCTCTTATACCATCTGTTATAAAGAATTCTAGAAAGCAAATAAAGTCACTTTCTACAATAAATAGAGCATCATGTGCTTCACAGCAGACGCGACAGAGACACGTAGGCCCCATGCCACAGCAGGATCTGAGCCATTTCCTGTTCTAAAAGAGCATTTTAAAAAATGAGACTCAGAGAGACTGAAGATTCAAAGAGACTGAAAAACAGATTAAGAGGAGAAAGTGTTGGGGGAAAGAAAGAGAGAGAAAGGGAGAGAAAGGGGGGGAGAGAGAGAGAGAGAGAGACCCGAGATCTTACAACACAGGTTTAGACAAAGGTCACAGAGTCCACAGCTGACCAACTATCTGGGGAGAGGGGATGAGTTGGTTCCTTTAAATAAACCACACTGAGTGGCCACACAACGGAGGGCTCCAGTAATGGAAAGTATAGGCCTGAATAATTTAGAACAGTATCTTACAGTTATATACACCATGTCCTTCCCTTGCCATGTGTCATATTGTTATCACTGTACAAAATCCCAAATCCCATCCTTTATGCTATGGAGTTTTGTTGGTTCCCTTTTAAACGCTGGCTCGTGTCCCAAATGTGTTAAGAAGTTGGTATGTGGTTGGTTGTAATTTTAAAAAGTTGAGTGTGTAAAAATGGCAGTGATCTCCCCAGTGACTTTGTTTTGCCCAGAACTCCCCTACGAAAAATTTAAAACAATTAAAAAGAACGTCAAGTTAAAAATCAACATGGCGATCAGTGGCCTGCAACCTGGCCTGCGACTTTGGTGCTTAAGAGGTGAAAAAGAATGTCCAGAGAAGAGACATCGAAGCCTCTGAAAGTTGCGTTGGTTTGTCGGTCAGCATTCCTCATTCACAGTTTTTTCCCTTCCATTTTGAGAAGGTGAAGGTGGGGAGGAAGTGGAGGAAGAGGGAAGGAGACAGGGTGTGAAATAAAAGGCTGCATTCCCTGGTCAGGGAAGCAGGAGCAGCAGAGCTGGGCAGGCAGAGTGCACGCAGGATGTTGGAGACGCTACCATGCAGTGGTGGTGGAATAAGGCCTGACGCTGCAGTTGCAGAAAAAAAGCCCAGGAGAGGAGAGGAGGAGTGTAGCAAGAGGATACCCAGCTAAAGGGCGTGCTCCACCCCAACTACCCTCAACATTCACGTGGACAGATGGCAGTGCTCTGCTGGTGGGAGCCCACTCTCAGCCTCAGCCTGCCTCACAGTGAGAAAGGCAGGGGATAGGAGGATCCACTCCATCTACTGCACATGTGCACACAACTGGGCCTAGTACGTCAGCAGCAGAACTACAGATCTAGGGCTATGGGGAGGGCATGCTGGTGGACAGGAACCTCGCAGAGTAGGCTGTCACCTGTCTGGGTCCTGGAGAGCCGGCAGGGACATACCTAGCATAGCAGCTGGCCAAAAGGGGACTAAGACATTAAAGAAAAAGACCAATTTGGTGATATTTCTATCAGTTTGGCACAAGAAAGTAAGGAAAGCGATGTGGTAAAGGAAAGCCTGGGCTTGGGTGTGAAAGAGAGGAAGGAAGAGAATGGGTGACAAAAGGAAGAGGGGTAGCTCAGTGGGGTTCCCCAAGGGACCCTGGCACACCCACAGCATCTCTGGGATCCATATCAGAACCTCACCGGCCCTGAGATGTGGTTAGCTGGGAGGCGGACAGAGTCCAGGACCTCTAGTCTTCTTGGTCAGGTCCAGCTCCTCGGCTGGGCCCCACAGCTGTTTCTACTTCTAAGTGGTTCTTCAGTGGAATATCCCAAGGGTCCTTGGGTGGGAGTTTTTGGCACACAGCAGGCCCTCCAGGGGAACCATGTGATTGGTCAAAACGGGCCTTGTCCTTAATGGGGATATCGTCCAGTCCCTGGCCTGCCATAAGGGACACCTACCAGCCACACATGTGGCTGGGGCAGAAGAGGCTTCTGTGCCCCATGGGACGAAGGTGAGTCAGGGCAGATGCAGGCCCAACCCCTCCCTTACAGGTAGCTGGAGGTGACAAAGGAGTGGGGCCCCCGGACTCGGCTCAGGTGGATCATTGCGCGGTCATAGGCCACCTGTACCGACTTTCGGATGCTGGTCTTGCGGCCTTCCAGCATCTTGAGCTTGTCCACGGTGTCTTCCACACCCAGTGGCAGAACTTTGTCCCTAGGAAGCCACTGCCTGAAATGCAAGCACATTTTAAACATTGGGCTGTGGTAGATCCTACAGGGGCTCCCTGGGCCTACTTGCCTAGGACAAACAAGGCCAAGGACAGGGGACAGGACAAACTGGAACACTCCACAGAAGTCACCAAGAACCAGGCAGAAGAACACAGTAAGTATGGTGTGTGCAGGGTCAGGGAGACAGAATGCAGAATGGGACTTTTCTGACAGCTGGTCCTTCCCTGGGCCCTCCCTCTGCTGAGGGATGGCAGAGCCCTGGAGCCAGGAGAGACCCATTTGCCATCTCAGAGGCTGAACTGAGTAACCCTGGAGGGCTCAGAGCTTCACCCTGCCTTTGGGAATTAGGGAGCCATGGCTCCAAGTGTCACTGATACCAGAAATCCATGGATCTCTTTGGGGCCTGCAGAGAGAGAGGAAGTGAGTGAATGAGAGAGTGTGTGTGTATGTGTGTGTGTGTCTGTCTTTAAAGCTCCCAGGTGAATCTAACACATGGCTAAAGGCACAGCCTTTGGAACCAGATCTTGTTTTGCATCCCAGTTCTGACAATGGAGTCTTGGCTTTCTTTTCTTTTTCTTCAGGGGCTTTGTTTTGTTTTTCTGAGACTATGTAGCCCAGGCTGGCCTTTGAGCACTTGCAATCCTCCTGCCTCAGCCTCCTGAGGAGGAACTACAGACATGTACCACTACACATGGAATGAGTCTTGGCTTTCTGAGCCTCAGCTTCCTTATATAAAAAATGGACTGTGAGGGGATTAAGATTTAAGTGAGATTAAGTGAGATTTATGTATGTGAAACAATTTGCATAAAGGCACAGAGTAGCAGCTACTGCTGTCATTATTTTTACCACCCAGTTCTACCTCTTCATTCTATAGAAGCAGAGGTGACAGGACTCTCCACTGGTGCTGAGACATCTACAGGTGGCCATAAACCAGGGGCGAGTCCTTTGTAGAGGACACCACACTGCATAGACGCCCTCGGGACTGAGACATGTTCTCCCTCAGCTACTGGGAGTGGTGGTAGGGACAGGCTCTCAGCTGAGTCCCTCTCCAGGAAATCATCCACCCTGGCAGCAGCCTCACCAAGGTCACACCCTTCCCCAGCATTCAATCATTAGCTGGCTAAGGGTACAAAGTCTCAACTCCCAACACCTGTCCTGAGCTCCCCAGAGTCTCTGCTTCAAGTGTGCTGCAATTCAACTTTTTCCTCTACCCAGATACAGCCTTCTTTTTGAGGTTCCCCAGGAAGCCCCCTGAAACAAATCTCCACCTCAGAGCGCTTCTAAGGGAGTCCATCGGCAGCCCCATTACTAGACACAATATAAGCCAGCGTCATTAGGACACTCAAGTCACTACAAACATGCAAGTGCTTGGCCACCAGCTGGCAGGCAAGGCCCTTCCCCTCACATGGGGTGGTCCCTTGGCAGCACCACTCACCAGGTGCGCTTGTTGTCAAAGAAGAGGACAAGGAAGAGCTTCTCTCCAGCCTCTGCCTGCTTCTGCTCTCCCAGCTTCAGCACATCCAGTGGGGGGACAGGGATGGGGACGCCATTGTGCAGGAGGCCCTCCCGGGGCATCTTGGGATCGATGATCTGGAGGCAGAAGGGAGACAAGGGCTCAGTGGGGGGAGGGGAGTGAGTAAGCAGGGACCTTGCTGAAGGATCAGCTGCCAAAGCACCCCACACCTAAGCCATGCAAGGGCTCAGCTCTGCTACCAAAGATGATGGAGAGGCCAACATCTTCCACGACCCTCAGTACCCAAATGGAAATCTTCTTCCCCCAATTCGATTATCCTAATTCTCTAGGCCTGCCCAACCAATCCTGCTTGTGAGGGAACTTGCTCCTAGGACAACCAGACCCTGGAGCTAAGAAGTAGTGAGAAGCCTGCAAAGGGAGGGGGGGTTGTCAGGACTAAAGTGAGATAGTCACTTAGCTAGGCAAACCCCTTCCTCTCAATGTCCCTTAGAAGAGAAGAGTGGAGGCTATTTTTTTTTTTTTCTCCACAACCTTTGCAATTCACTTCAAATGCTCAGAGGCCTTGCCTAGGCACCACGGCTATGAAGGCTTGGCACTGGCAAGAGGGACAAGCCCTCAAGTTCTTGTCACAGAGCCTGTTCCCACCACCTTCCTGTCTGACTATAATTCTGGCCTGTGCCACATATGGATGGAACACCTCCATGGTAAGATCAGAGAAGATAAAAAGACTAAGTTTGGAGGGTTGGTGGAGAGGGAAGAATGACATGGTTGAAACAAGGACCACTGGAGGAACTAATCGTTGAGGCAGCAAGCTCCAGAAAAGCAGGGGCTGTGTCCATCTTGTTCAGTTTGTCCCTAGCACCCAGCAGCACCCTGCCCCACTCAGAGCAGGTGCTCAGCAAAATGCCTGACAGCAAGATGATAGTAATTCTCCAGGTCTGTGCAGCACTTTTAAATTTCCAGAGCTCCTAATTCACACATATCATCTCATTTCAATCTCTTTCTGATGCTGGGAAGTCTACTGTAGTGGACAGAGGAAAACATGAGCTGGCTGAAGCCATGGCTGGGACTAAAACCGGACATTTGGACAGGAGAGCACGGGCCTCTGCTTCCAGCAGCCTCCTACAGAGCCCCTGCTTCCAGAGCTGATAATCTCTCAGCACAAAGACCAGAGAGACCTGGAAACCTACAGAGGAAGCAGCCTTCTCTAGAGACAGAGCAGGCTTAATTCCTCTACCTGTCCCAGAGGGCCTCTTCTCATGAGAAACTGCTCTTGTTATTTACCTTTGGGCCTCTGCCAGCTTCCCCACATCCCTCTCAAGATAGACAGCTGAAAGCAGGTGTTCTGATAGGAGTACCCTAAGGAAGAACCACCCCTATCCCACCCATTCTATCTCTCAATGTGCCAGTCCTTCTGGGACTGAAGGTAAGGGCCCTAATGAGAACAACCTAAACAGCACTTCTAAGTTTCCTTGATTACCAACAGGCAATGGGGCAACTGATATGTTCCACCCTGATTTTGGCATGCTGGCTCCTGAAGGTGGATTGTGAAAAACTTCCTGAGGGCAAAAGTGAGGTGAGTTTGCCTTCTGAGGACAACTTTCATGTCCCCAAATAATAAATAATGGTCCATTCACTCAATGAATGCGATACGAATATAAAACAACATGGAAATAAATTTAATAGAGTATACAATAAATGTGCACATATACTATTATTACAACTATAATAAAATACATCAATAAAAGGAACAATGCAAAATACTTAGAACCCACAAGTTAGAATGGGGGGTTTGTTGGGGAGGTGGTGTTTGATTTTGTTTATTTTTCCAAAACTTCTGCAATGTGATACATTACTTTTACAAACAAAACTAACAAAAAAGACACATTTATTTAAATGGGGCATAAAAAAAGATTAATAAAAAACAGTATACGATATGTAAATACATATGGAAGTATGCACAAGAAAAGAACTGGGAGAGCATGCACTAAAACAAAAACATGAGTTGTGTGCAGGTGGTGGTTGAATGTCTTTTTTAAAAAGACAAATTTTGGGCTGGTGGAATGGCTCAAGTGGTAGAGCACCTGCCTAATAAGCATGAGACTGTGAGTTCAAACCCCAGTACTGCTAAAAAAAAAAAAAAAAAAAAAAAGACAAATTTTGGAATGGCTTTCCTTCATTGTAAGGTTTAAATAACCCCAAGATTGCACAGCCTTAACCATGTCCTTACTGATTAAGCTGGAGGTCCTGTGGTCCCACCCTGGCAGGACCCGGAGCCTTATCAAATCAGGCAGCCCCTGGTTCAATGCCTCCAGCTGCTGGGTAACGCCATAGATTTTTCACACCTGCCCCTGCTACGCAGTGGGTAAGGTAGGCAGGATGGGTCACAGTATGGCTCCAGCAAATTGTATAACCTCTCTGAGAGGTCCAAACAGGATCAGAGTACCTGCCCTCTTTATCTTAAGAGGTTGCTGTTAGACTCAAAAGAGTCAGAAATACAAAAGGGCTAGGAGAAGCTCAGAGCTCTGAGTGTATGTGAGAGGCTACAGATCATCTAAGAAGCTTCTGAAAAGTATTTATGCCTCATGGCCTCAGAGAGTCTAATTTGGTAGTTTTAGAGTGGTGTTGACTCAAGTATGATTGTTAAAAAAAAATCCCCCTAGGTGATTTTGACATGCCCAAGAGGTCTAGAATCGGTATTTTTCAGACCAGGTGGACATTCCCACTCCAACTGAGAAACAGCTTTAAGAAATAATAATCAAGGTGGTAAAAATGGAATTTTTAGCTACTGCTGGTGGGAGTATAAGTCAGGATTAACTTTCAGACAACTTGGCAACTTGTGTCAGAATTTTGTATAGACTTTGCCCCCAGAACACCCCTAAGAATTCAATGTAAAGAAATAATCAGATGTACACAAAGGTGACCCTACAATGACATTTACTGCCAACTGCTTATCACAGAAAAATTCAATCTAAATGAGCAGTTAGGAAAATGATTAAAATATGGTACACAAATACAACTGAGGATGATGCAGTCGTTAAAAGTGACGTGATGAAGAATGTTTTAATAGCCTAAGACGTGCATATTCATGGTATGCTGTTCAGTGAAACAGAGGTTAAAAACAGAGGAAAGTCTCTCTCACAGATATGCATATTTATGCATTCTTTAAAAAAAGGTTGAGTGGATGCACACCAAGTTATTCCTGAATTGACAGGACTGTGCATGATTTTGAACTCAGTGGTTCAGAACACAAAACACAAATTTTGAGTCCTGAGCTTAAATTCCAACTCTTTCACTTATTAGCTGGCTGACCATGCACAGGTAACGGTCCTGTTCTCTTCCCTACGAAACAGGAATAACTGTACCTTCCTCAGTATTTCAAGGACTTAGCCATGACAGATGTTTAATAAAATATCTAAATATTATTGGCAGCATTTTAAATCTCTACACTAAGTATATATTACTTTTACACATAAGCAAATAAAAAAATGCTATTAAATACCCTAAGAACCCTAGTCTCTATCTACATACTTTCAGCCTATTTTAAGTGCTCCCATTGGGACCCTTGCTGATTCACCCCACCCTGGCTGGGGTAAAATGCCCCGTCCCTCTGCACCTAAAGGCACCCAGACTCCCATCACACTCTGCTGGCTTTATCCAATCAGATAAGCCCCCAAGGCAAGGCAGGGGCCAGAGCCGCCCAGGGAGGGGGTAGGAGGGTGGGGTCTGGGGCAGACTCACCAAGGCAGGGTAGGAGGGATAGCCTCGGCACTTGGCCCACACCAGCTCCAGGGGCTCCAGGTCTCCGCGGTCTTCAAAGGGCATCAGGAGGCTTCTGCCTGGGGGTGGGGGAGGGGAGGAGACAGCGCCCAAAGGGGACTTGGAATGGTGCCCCAAAGCCCTGCCTGTAGCTTCCGTTTGATTGGGGCAGTCCAGGGTGAGTCAGCAACATCCCCTCCACCCTTCTTCCTTTTCCCTATACTTTCCTTAGGAGATCTTACACTGGATCAGGGGTTGGCAAACTAGTTCTGTAAATGGCCAAATAGTAAACATTTCAGGTTTTTATGGGCCATGTGGTCTCTGTCCCAACTGTTCAACTTTGCAGTTGTAACATGAAAGTAGCCATAAACAATCTACAAACGAGTGTGGCTGTGTACCAATAAAACTTTGAACACTGAATGTAAATTTCACGTGATTTTCATGTTATAATAAGTTATCATTCATCTTCTGGTTTTCTTTTTAACCATTTAAAAATGTAAACACCATTCTTAGCTCTTGGGCCATATAAAAACAGGCAGCAGGCCATAGTTTACCAACCTCTGAACTTGAATACTAGGATGGCTTTCCCTGGGAATAATATAACTGCTTCATCTCTAGGGCCTCAGGGAGAAGGGTCATACCCCAGCTTGGGCAGAGACTTATGCCACTGCCTGGCCCCCCTAGTGGGGAGTTCTCCTGATGGAGAGACTTCATGGAAAAACTGCCTGGGAAGGACATCCTAAATAAGACCATTTGCTAAATGAATTTTCTGGCCCATACTGGGCCATCCATGTCACCTGGCTACAAAGCAATCAGCAGAGTCAAGCAAGTGCGCAGGTCCTATGTATCCCTGCCATTTTTTTTTTTTTTTTTTTTTTTTTGTGGTGTTAGGGTCAAGCCCAGAGCCTTTAACACACTAGGCAAATATTCTACCACCAAGCAACACACCTAGCCCTTGGTTTTTTTTGAGACAAGGTCTCACTATGTAGCTCAGACTGGTCTTAAACTCACTATGTAGCCCAGGCTGGCCTCAAACCCTTGGTCCTCCTGCCTCGGCCTCATGTGTGCTGGGATTACAGGTGTGTGGCATCTGTAATCTGCTTTTATCAGAACCTTACACTTGGTGACCAGTTTGGAGCAGGCACCACATCTCAGCTTATTTTCTTTTGCACCTGGTGCATGAGACGCATGCATGGGTACTCCACAAATGCTCTTCTTTTTTCCTCAGCACTGGAATTTGAACTCAGGGCTTCGAGCTTGCTAGGCGGGCACTCTAGCACTTGAGCCATGCTCCCACCTCTCACAAATGCTTCTGAACACAAGAACCTCCCTTTCCCTCTCCACATCTATGAATTGGGAATAGGGACGCGACTGTTTATTCAACCAAGGAAAAAGGCCTAAATCTCACAGAGTGACAATTAAATTTCTATGGAAAAATTATCACTCTCATTCATAATTTTAAAAAATACATTAAGATAATAAAGATGTACTGTTTGACTCCAGAGAGTCAATAGCAGTAACAAACAAGCAGGTAGAGTCCAATGTTGAAGAGGTAGGCTGAGTGGAAGCTGGTTCAGCTACACACTGCTGATGAGACTGCAGATCAGCTCAATCTTTTTGGAATGTAATCTGGTGGTGTGTCTCAGGAGCCATTAAAAGATATATAAGCCATCTGCTCCAGTAAGTTCCTCCCTGGGCAATTTATTCTAAGAAAAACAACTTTAAAAATGAATAAAAGGATTTTGAACAAAAATGTGGGCTTACCACATTATGTAATGTTAAGAGTTGAAGATAACCTGAAGTTGAGCAGTAGACTAGTTTCAGTTATAAAGCATTGTTGGTACCTTGTTCCAATAATATGAGATGCATAAATATTATGTGCTAGCATGAAAAAAGTATGAGATAACAGTTTTTTAAAAAGCAGAATACAAAAGTGTGTGTGTTTTAGATTGGTACTGTTAAAAATGTACCTAAAATGATAAGATAAACAGAAGGCAACACAGAGAAATGAAGACAACCGTGTTAAGATGATGGGACTATGCGAGATTAGTTTCCTTTTTAAATCTTTTTTGCCATCATTTGAAGTATGTGGGTCTTTAAAGCAAGAACAAAGTGTCACCACCAGAAGCACAAAGCGTGCCAATTCACTCCTGGTTTCAGGTTTAGATTTACAAATTAATCTCATCATGAGTCCTGCCTTCTGGGTGCTGACAGTCACACAAAAGTAATGAAACACACAGGCATGCATGCATCCATCAACACACATACGAGAAAGAAAATGATGCTAAGAAATCAGTTGGGTAAAGGAAAGAGGAGAAGAGAAGCCCTGTAGCTTGTGTGTTAGATGGGAACTTCAAAGACAGGACATCCAGAGGACACAGGGCTTGACAAGGATGAGCTCAGAGAATAGCCAGCTCTGTACCTGTTCCATCTGAGTACCACAACAGGCTTCTCCTCTCCTCCTGACCCTACCCTGTCCTTTATTTCACTAGTGTAAAGAGACAAGACCCATAAAACAACAGAGCTAGGTGTGAGATTCACTGATACAAGCTATCACTGATTACTCTATTGAGCACAGACAGGCAATACCCATAAAAATTATAAACATACTCCTCCTTCAATCCAACAATTTCATTTCTATAGAGACACCCACTGTGAACACAAAATAATCTATGTACACATAAGGTCTCAGTGCAATACTGATGATGCAACAAATAAGTGAAAACAATCTAAGTGTCCATTTTTAGAGGGCTAGCTAAGAAAATGAGAGTATTCCTATATAATGGGACAGTAGGAATTCAAGACAAGGCACAGAAGGATCTCCAAGGTGTAGGACTCTCTGGGGAAAAGCAATGGCTTGGAGGAACATGTGTCTATTAGGCTTCTTACTCCCAATTATATGCATAGGTTTTGGCCTGTATATGCATGGATTAGCTCTGGAAAGACACAAAAGAATGCTAGCAGTGGGTGTTTCAGGAAGGGGAGCGCTGGCTCTCATTAGATACCCTTTTGGTACCATGGGCATGTACTACCTATTCAGATTTAAGATAAATTCTTCTTCTTTTTTAAATATGACTTGCATAGGAAAAAGGGCCATCTCTCTGGCCAGTGCCTAAGGGTTTGGGGAGCTCAGGGACAAGCTGCCTGGTTCTGAGCTCCAACAGTGCAACAGCCCACACAGAGGGCCCTGGGGAAGGCCTGGCCCCCCCAGCTCTGCCTGAATGCCTTCCTCACCTGAGCTATTGTAGTCGGAGTCTCCATTCACACCTTCCAGGAAGGGCACTCGAGATAGGGCTGGCTTCCCACGGCTGCGTTTGGGGGGCGTCAGACCACTGCACACAGAGCAAGGAAAGAGGGGTGAAATGTGAGCAGCTTTAAGGGCTACACCTACTCCTGTATTCCTATCTCTGATAGGAATGGAGCTGCAAGAGCCCACAGGGAGGACAGTTAACTCAACACCACTTAAAGATTCATACTAAGCCATGACCCCCTTTTTTTTCCCCCTCCCATCCCATGACTTCCCACTCACAATACAGCCTAGGCTGAAGATGTATATGAGGTAGGTTTACTTTGCTCCTCTTTCTACAGTCAGTGTAAGAACATAACATGTGATAAGCAGCAGGAGGCTGCCATGACACTTCTGATCTAGGTGTTACCAGCAGGTTTCCAGGAACTTCATTCATGTGGAAGAACTGATCATAGAAGGAGGCCCTTATCCAGAGGAAAGGTCACCTCAGTCTCTTGTCAATCCTTCCAGAGTCTCAGCAGCCTTGCCATGAGAAGCTATGTCACATCTGCCTAGAATTCCTTACTCTGTGGCTCACATGCTTCATCTCCAGAAACCAATTTATACTGAGGTACAAAAATTTGCCTCTTTTCCAAGTGTCCTATAATGGACATATCTTACTTCCAAAATTAGAAAAGACATTTTTAAATTGGAAAAAAAAAAAAGTCTACTTCTCACTTCCCAATGGTTTATGTGTGAAGTTTTTCTTGGATAGAGATGGATTTTTTTAAAGTAGAAAGCAGACCATTTTTTTAAAACATGACTCCTGCAAAGAAGTAAAATACATATTAGACAAAACCTAGAAGGTAATAAGCAAATTTGGGGGAAGAGCAGGACAGGTCAATGATATAACTGAGGCCCACTCAGGCACCAGGGTTTTAAATAGCAACCATGCAATCTAACGTAAACAAGATGAGCACTTCTGGGTGAGTGATGTATCTAGGCCTTTTTTCCACTCAAACTTTTAAAAATATTACTGCTATGTAATTTTTCAACTAAAAAATGCATAAGGCCTGGAAGGTGTGTCTCAAGCAGTAGAGAGCTGGCATAGGAGGTAAAAAGCCCTAAGTTCTAAAAAGAAAAAAAAAAAAAGCTTAAAAGATAGGCTGACAATCTGTAAAAATGTAGACATGCTTAGGATGGGTGGGGTAAGAGCCAGGTGGAATGGCTGGAGAGCATGATACTCAGTTTTACTGAGGCAGAACTGACTTTATCTTTATACTAAGAAAACTTTACTTAGCCAAAACCCAAGAATCATAATCTTTCAGTAAGTTTCTTTCTTTTCTCTTTGGCTATACTGAGGTTTGAACTCAATTTCACGCTTGTTAGGCATGCACTGTACCCTTGAGCCATGACCCCGGCCCTGGAAGTTTTATTCTTGCTAGTCAAAATTAGGACCTGTTGGAGAAGGGAGGCAGAAACTCAATTAATATTTAGGATTCAGTTCCTAGCCACCCTAAAATAAACTGTCAATGGGCTTACAGATTTGAGGACTTGTACAGATGTAAGGTTTTAGGAATTTTATTAAGAAAGTCTCTTGCCAGGCACTGGTGGCTCATGCCTGTAATTCTAGCTACTCAGGAGGCAGAGATCAGGGAGATTGTGGTTCAAAGCCAGCCCGGGCAAATAGTTCGTGAGACCCTATCTGGAAAAAACCCATAACAAAAAAGACCTACTGGAGTGGCTTGAGATGTAGGCCCTGAGTTCAAACCCCAACTGAAAAAAAAAAAAAGTTTCTTAAAAAAAAAGTCTCTCAAAGTTCACATCCTGAATCTAAGGAGACATTTTTAAATATACAGAAAATTCACTAAAAGATATAAATCTGGAGTGACATTACTCAGGTTCATTAGTTTTGCAACCTTGAGCGAGTTATTTAACTTCTCTGAAAGAAGTGTTTCCCCTGCCATGCTAATGGAATTTAAGGAGTTAATACACACAAAGCACTCATTACCGCACATACCAGGTACTCAGTGAATGGCAGTTGTAATTGTTACACGGAAGACCATAAGTACATTTTAATGTCTTACTTGAGGTATACAAACTATGACTATTGCACTATGGAATGCTGAGCTCTGACAAAGAACTCAATAACATAGGATGCAACACCAGAACGAGGTCTACGTCTTCAATTTGCAGAGAAAAGCACAATGGATTTCACCCTGACCTGCATTTTCAGTCCTCTGTCCAAGTGACCCAGGTCTAAGCAGGCAACCCAATCTATAATTGTCTTGTTTACTGGTTCAACCTCCTATCTCCCATTCTAGAAGATAAACTCCACAAGGACAGACGCCTTATCTGTGCTTACAACAGTGCCTGGCACACAGAAAGTGCTCAGTTATCAATAGTTGGATTAGTGACCTATACAAAGAAGATGCAGCTCCAACCTGTTCAGAAAGCCAAAGAAAAGATAAATCAAAGGAAAGATGGGGAAAAGGGAGTGGGGAATGGGTTCGTGAGCAGTTCTTTCAAGGTTACTTCTAATTCTGGGATTATATAATTTCAGTATAGATCATCCTTTACATATTTACTGGCATAGTGGAGAGAAAAGGAAGAGAAAAAAATCTTGCATTTGGAGCTTATGAATTTCCCATTTCAAACTCTGAAATTTCACTGCAAAACACTGAGTTAAAGACAAAATGCCTTCCAAGGGCATTGCTCCTATATCAAGCAGGAGCCCCAGAAAAATCAGTGACATTAGACTGTAGTTCTACAGAGAGCACACACTGCCTGAATTGGCAGGCTAACCATCATGTGGCCTGACTTGCTTCTTGTGACTCATAGGTGGGAAAAGTGCCCTTCCCTTCATGGAGCAAGACTAGTACACCTTCTGCCTTAAGTCAAAGGCTAGAAAGGGGGTAGTTGAATGACCTCATTCCTATCTCAATCCCAATGAATTGGCCTTCTAGGCATTTTTCTCTTTCTCTCTTTTATTGATTCCTTCTTGCTTGTTTGTTTTGTTTTTGAGACAGGGTCTTGCTGTGTAGCCCAGGCTGGTCTCAAATTCATGATCCTTCTACCTTAGTCACCCAAGTGCTAGGATCACTCACCTTAATCATCTTATCTTTAAAGGAAGGCAGAAATTCTAATCTGAGAGCAGGTTGTAAGCATCTTCTAAGAGTCTGAAATCTCTGCGCTCCCTATCCTACTAACTGTGTTTTTCCCCCACTTACTTTTCCTATATTTCTGAAGGCCACAGCAGACAGAAAGAGCTAGGGCATTTTAAGGATTTGTGGGGAGGAAAATCTCAAAGGAACGAAAATGGGAAACCAGTACAGGGCCAAAGAATAGCTGGGGGTGGGGGGTCCCTACAGCCTCCCACAAGCCCAGAGCCAGGGTAGAGGAAGTACCTAATAGTACACCCAACCTGCCTTGGAAGTACTTCAAACACAGACACTAGCTTTTGGTGCTGCTGGGACCTTTCCTTCTCCCACTCTGAACCTAGGATCTATTCAGCAGCTGTGGTGGGGCCATGACATCAACTTTCGAGACTAGTCATTTTCCTTTTGTGGCACTGAGGTTCTCTCATTTCCAAGAGTCCCACTCTCCCTGGGGTCTTGTGGAATGCAAAACACAGAGAAGCAACTCAATAAACAATTGTACTTAAAAGAAACTTTAAGGTTCTGGTCTCAGAAACCCTTCTTTTAGGTTGAAGAATGACAAAAGAAGCCAATCCCTTCTCAGCTAAAGGATGTGGACAAGCTGGGGCCTTTTGTCTAATAAAAGGCAATTCTAAATTTTCTGTGTGCTTACTTCTTATTCCTATACTGAACCTCTGAAGAGGCCATTGCTATGGGTACCAGGTGTGGTGGTACATGCCTATAATCACAGCACATGGGAGGCTGAGCCAAGAGGATTGTGAGTTCAAGGCCAGCCTGAGCTACACAGTAAGACCCTGACTCAAAAAAACCAAGGGCTAACCAAGGCTAGCAGCATAACTCAGTGGCAGAGTAATGGCCTAGCATGCAGGAGGTCCCTGAGTCTGAACCCCAGCAAGGGACCTAGGCAAAACCGTGCCTGTAACAAGCTGGGGTGTGTGTGTCTGTCTGTCTGTCTGTCTCATGGGGGACTAGCTCAAATGTTAACTAAATTGGGCAACAAAGATTCAGCTCCACAACCCATGTAAGGCACCAGCACCAAACCTCTTCTCATAGAGCAGATCTGAGAGTCAAAGTTCACCCTGGTTCTTAGGAGCTTTCAGAGTTACAGGGGCCTCAGGAAATAGCAGGGATGGGAACTGAGATGAGAAGGAAGTTCAATCTGCTGCTGAATGGAGAATGAAGGGAGAGATGGCAGAACTGCTGACAAAGCTTTGGGGGCCAAGTGTTCTTACCTGCAAGCTTCAAATGCCAGTCCTCCACTGAGACCCAAACTACATTCCGAGTCAGACCCGCTTTCAGTGTGTTTTCCAAAGCCATTGGTCACACCTGCCAAGGATACACAGAGTAAGCCTGAGTGCAGAATCCCCCTCTTCTCCTGACACATGCCACAGAGTGAGGCAGCAGCCTCAGCAGGGTTCAGTGAGGGGTGGATAGGATGGCTGTCCTCCCCTGTGGGAAATGGGTGTTGGGTGGTGGAGAGAAGCTGAAAGAGATAAAGGTTTGGAAAAACACTGTTGGCTCAGGCAATGAGAAGACTGTACTTTTACTTTAAGGAAAATGCAGTACCCAACTGACTCTGGCTACTATCCTTTGGCTACAAAGGAAAAGTGAAGACTTTCCCACACTGGTAGGCTCACCTGTCCCTGGCTATGCTTCTAACTTCAAACCTCGATTATTAGGGAGTCTTTTCTGCCTCTTGAGGAGCTCACCCACCTTGCTCTTCAGATAAACACTCACATGCCCTTCCCATCACCCAGCTGGCATTCAATCTTCTGGGATGGTGTCAGGAGAAGCTGGGGTAGGATAAGGGCTTTGAGTCAACCACATCCTCAGATATCTAGCAGAGCTAGTCCAAGGTGAGGAGGGGGATTTTCAGGACTACAGCAGCCTAGACATTCCTGGAATGGGCAGAAGGGCCCTGAAATATTGGTCCCTCCTTTTGTGAAGTAAAGCTAGTATCTTCTTACTTGTGGAGGATGCTATTCACATTCAGTATGTATGAAAGGTTTGTTTATAGCAAGGAGCCTTCAGAGGCAAACAGCACTGTCTGGTCATCCACGACATGACCTTGCTGTGAGGGCTTCTACTTCCCATCTATCCAATTTCTAACCATACTCCAGAGCGAAGCAAAGGTTGGAACCATTTTACCATTATACAACTTTACATTCCCCTCAGGTTTAAAGACAGCTCCAGATACAATCTAGCACTCTGAAAATACCTGTCCAAAGCCTGTTTCCCCAGGCCACTATTCATATGCCAGACTCAACTGGCTAAGAAACCCTTAATGATACTACTGGGTCAACAGAGGCCATTAGGAAGACGGCCAATTGGGGAAGGTGCTGGCTGGCAAGGCAAAGCAGGAAAGCAGATGAGAGGTAGCAAGAGAAGTCACAGGCAGGGTCACCTGTCTCTTCCTCCTGCTGGGGGGACTGCTCCCCTTCGCTGTCACTACAGCTCCTGCTCCTTGGTCGCTTTCGAGAATGGCGCTCATCCTCAATGCTGGCTGGAGAGGTGGGAGAGCTCATCACACCATTGTCCTCACCATTCTCCAGGGCCCTGTCTGGGCTCCTCTGTAGTTTAACCCCATTCTTGGCCTTCTTGAAGAGGACTGATGTGCGGCGACCCACACCACTAAAAGCAGCACCAGTAGGGGTGTCAGGGGCCACAAGAGACAGTCTATTGATGCCATTGTCACTGAGCAAGCGTTGCAAAGGCTCACTCCCTAGCTGCAGAGGTGATTTTTCCAAGAGCTCATCTTCTTCTACCTTTCTGGGCTTTAGGAATCGACTTGGAGGTTTGCTATCGCTGATGGGTTTCAGAGTAGGGGGATCTGGAGGGGATTCTTGCTCAGACAAGGAAGGTGCAGGCCCAGTGGGCTCCAGGGTTGGTGGGGGAGGCAGTTTGGAGTCATCTGTTAGAGAAAAAGAGAACCTGCTTGAACATTTTAGAGACAGTCTGTTCTTATAAGCCAGACACTGACACTGATAACCAAGGACTAAAAGTATGGTGATTATAGGACTCAAGACACATACTAGAGGGAAAAGAACAAAAGAATGCATCCTTGGTCTTAGATCTAAGGCAAAGAGAAAGTAAGATTACGTTTTGCTGATACTAGTAGTTTTCAACTCTGTCTACGTGTAGAAATTGATTTAGATAGTCTCTTAAAAATTCTAACGCCTATGTCACAACAAAGACCAAATAAAACCAAATTCTAAAGACAGGGTACTTTTTTAAAAGTTTACCAGGTAAGCCTAATGAAGTGAGGGTTTCATACTTCACTCTATACCTGAGAAAGCCAGCTGCTTAATCAAGAATTACATCAAGTTGCAGCTTGGCAGATTAGAGGTCTGCAGTTCTCATTAGACTCAGTGTTTTCTCATCTGTCACTGATTTTGTTTCACATCGCCCAAGTGACTGCAAGAACAGGCACAAAGAATAAGTTCACAGATGTGGGAAACGAGACCAAGTTAAATCAGTGGTTCCCAAGCATTTCTGCTCACCATGAAACTCAAAAATTGAGACTTATCCACAGAACAGACCTCGCTATCTCAATCTCTGGGAGGTGAGGCTGGGAATTTGTTCTTATGAAACCCTCCAGGTGGCCTGTGGCAGCTGGTCTACTAGGTATGACTTTGCCTTACCACAGCGCAGAAGTGGGATACAGGAGGCTGCCACTTGAGTTGGGAAGAATCATCAGTGGACACAAAGCCCTCTAATGCCAAATGTGACCTCTCATTTACATTCCTGTTCTCTGCCAATCTAACACGAAATGGGCCATGCTCTGCAGTTTGGGCCTTACCTGCTAGAGACAATGCCCAACCTTCCAGACTGTGTGAGTGACAGGTCCTCCCAAGCCTTAGGCTCAGATCCAAGAAGAGGTACATGGTAGACAATTCTCAGTGAAGGGGAAGGATGGGAAGCAGCTCAGCTTGCAAGGCTCCTGTATTTCTGACAATCACTTCCACAGCTGCCTTTTGCAGTCTGGCCTCTCTCCTTGGAATAAGCCTAAGGGTCTTTAGTTCTCTGCTATACCACACCCCCACCCAACCTGACCTGCTCTAAGAGCCTCTTCACACAGAAGTAGAAGACAGGTTGACATTTAACTGGAATGCACACTGGCCATATCAGGTGCAGAACACTTAATACTTCCTAACTGGCTAGGAAACAGCTGCTGGGCTCAGCACCTGAAATTCTCTGAACCTCCTCCCACAATCCAGAAATTAAATACCCCCATCAGGGGCCCCCAGGAGCCCCGTCCAATACAATAGCCAACATCTATTCTGACAGATAAACTTTGGTCCTAAAGATTAGGCAGTATGTTGAGTACATTCTCTCCCTCAGCATGACATGGAAGTCTGACCCTTCCGAGAGCTTTTGCTTGCTCACAGGGTCAGACTTAATCTTGGGGAAGGACACTCCCAAGAGATTTCAGCCTAACCCCCTCGGCACTCTGCCTGTTTGTGACTCTCTCTCACCTCTGTCCCCATCGTCTTCTGGCTCCTCCTGTAGTGCCTGTTCCAGCACAGCTGCATCCCCCTGGGGCCCTGCTGGAAGCTCCCCATTGGACACTGACTTGTTCAGTGATGGTGGCTGTGGTGGTGGCAGTGGCTGTGCCAGCTTCTGCCGAAGGGCATTGATCTCCCGGCGTAGCAGGCGGACACGGCGGGTGCGGGCCCCGCTAGACCGCATGGCGCTCACCAGATCCAGTTTCTCCAGCAGCTCCTTCAGCTGCACCTCTGGAGACAAATGCGCCCGGTTCTCTGGGATGAGGATGTTGTCCACTGCCAGGGAGAAGGGAGGACAGAGGAGGCTGAAGGACCTGCCTGGCCCAGGGCAAGAGAAAGAGGCTGAATTCTTTGGGATGCAAAATATACTCCTGGAATGCCTGGGCCGGTAGCTTCCAGCAGCGTCACCGTCGGGCTTTGGCCCTGTAACACTGCTGTGCGGAAGGCAGCCACAGGGACAAGGTCAGAATATGGGAAACATCTGCAGGAAGCAGTTCACAGTTGTGATTATGGGCTCTGTGGAGCAGGCACGAGGCAGCTTGGCAATCCCCGGGTCTGAATGACTAATGGCTGCTGCCACTGACAAGCAGAGAGCAGGGGCAGGCAGAGTGTGGGACTCGGAGATATTCTATTTTTCTGGTACTCCACCTGAACTCTTCTGAATGAGCCATGCTCACACCAGCATTACACTCCCCTGGCTCCATGTCCCAATGTCACATAAAGGATCTAGGAGAAGACTCCTGATGAGGCTTTAGCTTTCCATACAGATAACTACTCCTTTTCTACTATTCAAGAAGTGCTCAGTGTACAGGTTAAACTTTAACCCTTGGAATTATTTCAGCTTCAGGCAGGTAGATCCCAGTTTGAGCCTATCCCCAGCTTTGTTTCTGGAGTCTACTCTACACTTCCAAGGCCTGCCCTGATCCCTGGCTCTTTGGGCCCTGTCCTTGTGCCTCTTCTTGGTCCTTCCCCTCCCCACCCACCCAGGCTTCTCACCGTCTTCCCAGGAGAAGCGATAAAAATCTTCCAATTTGGGTGATTCGGGCAGGTGGGTGCCCCTCTCGGGGTCATAGCCGATGTTCTCTGCCTGCCGCCGGGCATGCCGCAGGATGGCCCCTCCCAGGTCCCGCAGGCGGACAGCTGCTCGGTGGAAAATTGTGTCTTTAGCATTATACTTCATGCAGTTGGTAACTATAAGGTTAAAGTCCTCCTCAAATTCCTCCAAGGTGCAGTACAGGTGGGACTCCAGCTTCCGCCTCATAGTAGAAAAATCCATTGGCTTGGATATGAATTCCAGGTAATCTGGAACCTAAACATATAAAACCTGTACAATTACAACAACCATTTACTAGCCAAACAGGCGCACCCTTCACCGGCACTCTTAGCCTTTCCACTTTCTGGTTTGGCCATACCAAGCTCCCTCAGAGCCTCCAGGCCTGGCCCACCCTGATCTCCTCCCTGATGCCTCACCATGGACAAGTCTACTGGCCTTGCCATATACACCCCCACCCTCAGTTCTGTACATCCTGTGACCCAACCCCCTCTTGGCCTACTCAGACTCTGTTTTCAGTTCAGGACAGGTTTGTTGCTTGAGGGGTGTGGGAAACTTGCCTCACTCAGGTTAACAGGTTCAGCAAAGATGTGTGCGGGATCCTTCTCCTGCAGCAGGTCTAGCGTTGTCCTCAGCAGAACATTGAATGGCATTAGCTCCAACTCCATGGCAGCCTGCTGGACCTTGACCTGTAGGAGAGGTGGGGAGCAATCAGAACCCCTTTAAAGAGGCACTGGAACTTATCCATAACTTGACTGTCGTCAATGGTATACAACAGATTTTCACACAACGCTACCCTGACCAATACATGAGGAGCTATCACCCAACCCTCAATCTAGGAATAATTATACCAATAGTGCTATGGTTTAATATCTCCCAAAAGTTGCTGGAACCTTCATTCCCAATGTGGGAGTGTGGGGAGGTGTTTACGTCATGAGGGCACCATTGTCATGAATGTTCTCGTGTCCTCACGAGAGTGGGCTTATTACTCATGGGAGTGGCTTTAAGTTCTCCCACACGTGCTTCCCCCTTCCACTTTACCGAGAAAATAATGCAGCACAAGAGCTCTCATCAGACTCTGCTACCATGCCCTTGGACTTCCCAGAATCCTACTGTAAGCCAAATAAATTTATTTTCTTCATAAATTACTCAGTCTGTGATATTCTATTATAGCAACAGAAAACAGAATAAAGTAATTATCATTTTGTGAATGTTTCCTATACATCAAGCACCATACAAAAACATATAGTAATAATTATTATAATAATTAACACTTTTATAATCCATACTAAGTACCAGGTAATGTTCTCATATTTTATGTGACATATCTGAGTATATGAAGTAAGCACAGATAAGGTATTTTACAAAGAGGAAGCACAGGCATGGGACTAAGTAACTGGTCCAAGTCATACTGCAGAGCAGAGGCAGGGTTAGGATATAGACCTAGACAGTCCGGTCCCACAGTGAGTGTTTGTGACCACTATGCCACATTGCTTCTCTATTAATCACCACAATAACTCTGATGGAGAAATTATTTTCCCCATCCTACACATATGGAACCTGAGGTTTGCAGACAATGTGATGAAGTCAGTAGTCTAAGGTCACCTGATTAGAAAAGAACAGAGAAGGTGTTTGAACCCGGGTCGGACTTAGTCTAAGGAATACACTAATAAAATTGTATTTTCCACCAAATGTGCTGAGATACCAATTCCATCAGCACTTTTAGTGTCTGGGGTGACCAGAGCCTCCAGGCTCACCCCTCAAGCAGCAGCTTCCTATTTTTACAATGATATGCTGTACAAATGTTATTTCCCATGTGCCCTAACATGCTGGGTAGACACAGATTAGACTCTGAAAAGTTCCCATCTCTGGCTCCCATCAAACAAGCCTGCCTGCTTCCCCAGAGCCAGGACGATCAGCTCAGCTGTGGGACTGAGGCTGGGACAGTACTGACAGTTTGAACCCATAGAGAAGGTCCTGAGATGTCCCCATGGTCAGCTACACTGAATATGGCAAAAGCTACCCAGGACTAGAAGTGGAATCTCAGACTACTGGTCTACTAGAGAAGAGCTTGTGCAAGAGTTGACCAGTCATGTAGGGTCTGGAGAAAGAAAAGAACATTTTATATCCGAACCTCTGAAGGAGGCAAGTAACAGCTGCTATTCCTGGACCAAAGAGAACAGTTTTGGCTTGTCATCCATTCAGTTAATGAATATAAAGAGTATCAATAATATGAATAAAGAGTATCAATAATAATGATGATGATAGCAGCTAACACTTCTGTAGCCCTTACTATGTGACAAGCACTGTTCTAAGCTCTTTTTACAAATACAAAGTCATCGAATCCTTATGCTGTAGACTCTATTACTCTCATATTATAGATGAAGAAACAGCAATATTAAGACATTAAGCAATTTGGTTAATGTTACACAGGTAGCTAAGTAGCAGAGCAAGGATTTAAACCCAGTCTGGTACCACAGCCCATGTTCTTAAACCCCTGTGCTGCATCATCTACCTCAACATCCCCATGTTCTGGGGCTTAGAATCTCCTTGAACTAGGGGTTGGAATTTAAATGATTCAAAAACCATCAATGTTTAAGAGCCAAGTGAGAAGCACAGGCTAGAGGTTCTCAAATGGCAATGCCCATTAGAAAGACCCAAGAAGTTTTTCAAAATACTCAAGGTCAGCCTCCCTCCAAAAATTCTTGAATCAAAAACTATGGGTCCAGGCATAGATTAGGCTTAGGCTTGGGGCCACATGAGCTGAACTCCAAAATGTAGAAGCTATCAGTATCACCCAACCAATACAGAGTAGGCTGATCTTGGAGCCCATAGAACTGGGCAGGAGGGGCAAAAAGAAAGCTGACACCAGCAGAGGCTTCTGAGTCTCCCAACACCACTTTAAGAGCAGGAGAACGAGACCCTGAAGAAGAGCCCAAGGGCTGGGAGCTCCTCCTTACCTGCTCCCGCTTGAGCTTCTCTCTCTTGCGAATCAGCTCGATCAGCAGCCGTGCCCTCTCCAAGTCATGCCGGAGCTTCTGCCAGTATTTCAGCTCTTCCTTCACTGCACTAGTCTTCTCATCCTGCTCTCGCTGCAGTGGACAAGAGGAGGAGCTGAGGACTTCTTTCCCAAAGTGCTCTCCCAGTTCAAGCCTCATGGAGCTTCACCACAAAGGAATCTTACTCTTTCCCCGTGAGAGCCCTTCCCCACCATGCCGTTCTCTTGCACTTCCCAACCTGTTTCTTTAGCAGAACCCTAATGGAAAGGGATCTGGGACTGCTTCCACCTTCTCCAGGGATACCTGGGATGAGCTATGGCCCTCAGTGCTAGAAAAGTAATAGATAACCTCAGGGATGGAAAAAAATCTCACCCTAAGCTTTGACTTGGCTAGAAAACAAAGTCAAGTTCTTACTATTAGCTTGTATTAAGAGATTTGAAAATATTTGGGTAAAACAACAACAAAAAACTATGACTCCTATCCTAGAAGAAGTTCTAGTTGTTGGGGAAAAGAAGTGACCTAGGATTTGAAACATGAGCACATATTAGCATAAAAAAACTGATAAACATTAAATGCTGAGAGGACACAAACTAGAGACAGGGTCTGGGAAGGTAGAGGTTAGGTCAGGGAAGGTTTCCTGAGGAAAGCACTCTCATGAGAGCTTTACATACAATGGTAGACATGATCATATGAAAGCCCTCTTTTGGAATTCTGGAACAGCCCAGGCCAGAGGGGGCAGAAATGTGGAGGCAGAATTCATGATTCTTTGCTTAGTAAGCAAAGTGGGTAGACCAGAGCTGAGAAGCTGGAGAACCACAAAAGTCATGAAGATCTATGATCCAGATGACAAGAAGCCTCAAATGCCATGCAAGAGTCTGGACTTGACCTTGCTGGAAAAGGAGGGTACATTCTGGAAAAAGAAGTAACAGAATGGGAAATGGCATGTTTTACAACTTCAGTTGTAGAGCAAAGAAAGATGTAGAGGCTAGAATGCTATTGCTGAGGTTAAGGCAGAGTAGCTGTAAGAATGGAGACAAAGGGTCATACTGATAAATTCCCCCAAAGAGCTTAGGGGTTGATTAACTTCGACTCATAATGGTCAAAAGTCAAAAGTAACTCTAAGGTGGGGAACTGTTGAGATGAGCTAAAGAGGGAGAAGGGTTCTATGGCAAAAAATGGGGGAAATAAGTTTACTAAGAGGAAGACAAGTCAGTTTCCAATATCTGAGTTAAAGGTAACAGCATCCACATAGAAGCATCCCAGAGGGAAACAGGGCAGAAAAATGGATGAGAATAAGAGAAAAAACTGAAGCTACTGTCACACAGTTATAAACTGAAATGAAGACAGTGGACATGTTCTATAAACAAACAAGCAGGCAGCAAAGTTGCAGGGAATATTACCGTCAAGGTGTGAGAAGTGGGATCAGCACAGATTGCAGTCAGAGGGATGGAAGAGGTGGAAATGGTGCTACAAACACAGTACTCGGAAATGTCAAATGCAGCCCAGTGGACAGTAAGGTGAGAATCTGAAGAAGACATGCTGGGAAGAGGTTGTTGATGTTGTAGGGAGGCTTCTGATAAACCACAAGACTCAAGGAGCATCCAATCCAAGTTTGTCCTACTGGAGCTTAGTTGCAAAATGTAAATGTGAGATAGGAGCGAATGCTCAAGACACCAGTTGTGTAAAGACTTTCTGTGCCTGCCTAGCAAGTGTGAGGCCCTGAGTTCAAATCCCAGTCCCACGGAGGCGGTGGGAGACTTTCTGTTTCTCTGGAGCAGCAGTGTGGGGAGATTTAAAGACAGAAATAATGGAGCAAGCATAGAGAAAAAAACTAAGAAAAAGAAAACCAAATTAAAATTTAATGGAAGGGAAATTAGAAGACATTAAACATGTAGCAACTCCAGGTAATAATGGCTAACACCACAATTGGAGAGGTTGTGCACACGTAAGATTATAAATTTGTATATTTACTCTGACACAGTTTTCTTTGGCAGATAGCAATATAATCTCCTGAAAAGGGCACCTTTTCTTTACTCACGCCATGTGAATTGGCTCATTCAGCCCATTTCTTCCTTTCTGCCGCATCTGGAGTGTTTTCTCCCACATACATGGGAAGTGGGGGTAGCTCTCCACTCTTCCCTAGAATTTGCTAAGTAAAGCCTCCCCCATCCTGAAAGGGCTGCTGTCAGATCTCTGTAGTGCTAGAGATTGCTCCTGGGATAGACCACCCAGACGCGTAACCCTCTATTGGCAAAGGTTCTGCAGAGATCACAGGAGGGGTGCCAGTCCTGTCCCTAGCCCCTTCACTTTCCACCTCCCTCCCACAAGCCTCCAAACCCACTACACCTACCTGCTCAGCGTTTCTTTGGGATTGTAAGTGGGAGTGCAGGCGCCTGATGAGGGGGACACCATTCCGTGCCTGCCGCTTCAACAGCCAGTAGTTGTGAAGCCTCTGCATGAATTGGTTTTTCCTCTGAAAGGAGAGACCACTACAAATCTTGTTCAACCTTAAGTAGAGGCATAGAGAAGTAAAAGACAGGGTCAGTGGGCATCCCAGATTATAGCCTTCGTATCCTATCCAGACCCTGGTTCATTTCTGAATCTTAGAGAGGAAGACGGAATAAAGTGGCCAAATGCCTCACCTCAAAGAAGGCCTGGAAAAGGATAGCAGAGTTAAGCAGCTCAGATTCAGCAAGAGGTATTTCACTTGTTTTTCTACCTCTCTGTTTGGTAGCCCTGATATCCTAAAGAACCCTCTCCTAGAACCCCTATTTCTTATTGTCCTGGACGCCTTCATTCCAGGCATTATCTGAGAAACAGGCCTGTGCACCAACACTCCCACCCCCTCCTGACAAAGTCAACAAAATGAACAGGAACGTGAGTAAGCTGTGGGCAATGTGGCCACTATTTCCTGCCTCCTGTGACTGGGGAGCCCACCAGATTTGGGGGGAGTGTGGGGGGGTACACAACAAGCTGAAAGGAAAACCAGTAGGAATGCATGAGGTTACTGCTTTCTGAGCCAAATGCAACCTCTCAAAGAGTTGTTTGACCTGTGTTTTTTTGTTTGTTTTGAGACAGGGTCTCACTATGTTGCCCAGGCTGGCCTGGAACTCAGGATTCTCCTGTCTCAGCCTCCTGAGTAACTGGGATTATGGGCATGTACCACCACACCCAGCTAACCTGTGGCTTGTCATTAAAAAAAAATCTTAGTATCGTAGGGCTGTGGGCATAGCTCAAGTGGTAGAGCACCTGCCTAGCAATCATGAGGCCCTGAGTCCAATACTCTATACTGCCAAGTAGTACCAATGAAGAAAATCGCAGTATTCTAACAATACTGTCTAATTTTGAACCAAATGGAAAACATTGGCTTTAACTGTGTAAGAGAATGGAGGCTCTGAAAACTTAGTCAGTTTAACCTACAAGAGAAGTCTTAAGGTCAAGTTTGAAACCAGTAACACTGGGGGGCGGGGGGGGCGGGGCAGGGCTAGAAAAAGAATATAGTGAGTGCCTACAATCTATCCTAATACCTATACTGTAAGAGAGTAACAGTGTTCCCAGGTTATAAAAGCAGTTTAGAAACAGAGATTTAATGAATTGTCAAAGTGATTAATGAAGCTGGTAAGATGATGGTCCTGGGTGGGATCTGAATCTATCTCTCTGTTATACCAGGTACATTCCCAAATTGGTTATATACAGAGTAAGCAAGGCCTCAGTGCTCCTGTGGTATTTCCTTTACTTTGTCTCTTCCCTCTGCTCCACTGAAAGGAAGCTAAGTGTGGTTAATGCAAGGATGGGTTTGGTGGCCAGGACACTGCTTACCTGGACCCTGTTCAGCTCCACACTCAGACATTCCTACAAAGCCAAGCTTACAAAATCAAGACCTAGACCTTTTCCCAAAGGACAGATCCCGACCAACACCCATGCCAAGCACACCTGCCCACCTGCAGGCAGTCCCCTCCCTCTACAACCTTTTGGCTATGGAGGATCCCAATAGCACTTGTGCAGGTAGGGAAAAGAACAACGACATAGCAGCAGTAGCAGTAGCCACCATTTATTGAGCGCTTACTATTTGCCAGGCACTGTGCTAAGTGTTTTACTTGTACTTTCTCACTTATTTCTCATAATTCTATGTGGTGGGTTTATTTACAAATAAATATTCAAGCAACTTGCCAAAGGTCACACAAAAACTAAGTGACAGAAGGTTTGTTCTAGCCAGCAGAGCTGGTTCCTGGGAGAGGTGTCTAGGACAGACATAAAACCAGAGTGCAGCCCCAAGGCACAGCTACTCTACAGATGGGGACTAAGCACAGACCCACTTACCCCAGAAAAGAGGCAGCCTAGAGCAACTCCATGTCCAGAAGACATTCAAAGTCACTGAAATTTTAATGTGGGCTGTGGCTCACAAGAGCCTCCCATGCTGATCTTACTCTCATGTCTTCCTTCTAGTCTGGCAAGTCTGCTGCCTGTTCCCAGCACACAAGTCCTTCCCCACTACCTTCCAATACTGCTTTTACCCCTAATCTTTATCTCTTATCAAGAGAGACAAACAGCAAGAACACAGCCTAGAGGCATCACAAGCCCCAGCTTATTGTGCAGGATATGTGGCTTTCCACCTGGTCCCATCCCTTAGAACAGGATGTGGCATATAATAAGTGCTCAATAAATATCTCATTAAATCAAAAAGGAGTGAACAACTTTACCTCCTGTGGCTGCGGTTTCTTTATCTGGGGATGTGGAAGAAGGTGCAAGGACTACATTAGATGAACAATTTCCAAGATTCCTTCCTGCTGTAACACTGTATACTTTTTAACATAAACCACCCTTGAGACAGGCCTCTGATGCAAAATCTTCCCCAGTTCTTGCTCCCCTGCCAAGATCCCCCCATCCTCCAACAGTTCCAGCTACCTCACTGACAGCTCAACACAGATCCAATGATCTCCCTACAGGCTCAGTAGGAGCCTAGATGGCTCAATTACACAGCTAAACTTTCTCCTAAATCCAAAGTTTCTCAAGAGGAGGAATAAAATGTTCTCCCCATATCACCAACTTTCTTAAACGAAGTCCTCATCAGGACAGAGCTTGTTGGACAGAAGATGTGTCAGTCCTTGACACAATGGTTTTCCATTAGGAATAGTCCTATCCTCCTAAGGGTTTTGGAAACCTGTTGGGAGCATTTGAGGTTGTCACAAAGATCAGGCAATGAGAGAGGATGCAACTTGCATTTACAAAGACCAGGGATGCTAAACAGCTAGAAATACATGGGACAGTTCTAACAAGGAAGAATTATTCTGTCCAAAAAAAATGCCACTTATTCCCCTGTTGAAAAACACTGCCTTAGATATCCTGTCACCTGAGTTTCTAAGCAAGTTAGGCATTATATTTCACCCTAAATCAAAGGGGAAACATTACTTTGAGGGAAAAATCAAAAACCACAAAACAGGCTAGGTGAGCCCAGGCTCTTAAGGAGAAGTTATTTTGGGGGGGCAGAGAAGAGACATCCATAAACCATATTTGGGGAAGGCCTGGCCCAGGGCCAAGACCAAAAACCAAGAGGAAACCATGAGTCCCTAAAGAGACCTTTTGGGCAGGCTCACCTGTAAGAGGGTATCTGTGGGACAGTGACCATGGGGACAGTGGAGGTTGTGTCTCGTCCCACTTCCTCTGGCTCTTTCTTGATCTTTTGCTTCAAACTCATCTTGTTCTTCTTGGGCACTCCCTTGAGGGGGCTGCCCACCCCACCTTGGCCTTCCTGCTCCTCCTCCTCCACTTCTTCTTCCTCCTCCTCCTCCCCACCACCCTCCTTCAATCCATCCTCATCCCCAGTCTCACTGAGGCTTCTGGGGGAGTCACTCTTCCTCCTGGCAGTGGCAGCACTTGGTGGCGAGTGGGCCTCACAGTAGGCAGTCTTGCGCACAGTGAAAATGGTGCCATTGAGACTGGTTTCTCGCATGGGCTCAATCTTCATGAAGAGCCCAGCCCGTTGTGCACATGTTACATGGAAGGCTGTATAGCAGTTCACTTTATGGCACTGGATTGCTGCACCCAGCCCCTTCTGCTTGCAGATATAGCAAGTTAGCTTCCAGCGGGCGGGTGGGATGTTGTCAATGCCTTCGATAGGCTCCAGGAACACGGTGTTAGCAAAGCAGACTTCAGGGATCCAGATGGCACATACTACATGAGCCCAGTGCCCATCACTGGTCTGTTTGAAGGCGCCACCCTTATTGGGGCAGAGAACACAATCCACAGGCCGAGAGGGAGACTGCAGGCAGCAACGACATAGCCATTGTCCCTCGGGGATGTAGGGCACACCATAGCACTCCTGATGCACAGCCAGGTTGCAGATGTCACAGAAGAGAATGACATTGCTATTGTGGCATTCATCATCCAGACACACACAGCAGAAAGCATCTTCATCAATGAGTGACTGCTGGGCCCCACTGCTGCGACTCTCCAAGTATGACTCCTTCTCAAGCCGGTCCACCAGCAGCTCAAAAGTATCTGCTGACACCAAGCTATGTCCATCTACTCGCCGCTTCTCATTCACCATGTCCAGCCAGGCGAGGTCCTCCTCGTCCATGTCATACTCCACCTCTGCATCCAGGTCTTCAGGTGGCTTTTCAATGTAGCGATAATAGGCAGCGGGCAGTGGGGGTGCTTCTGGCTGGTGGCCTGGATCCACCATGCGGAAGCTGGGCTGTGGGAGGTGGAAGGAGGTGCCAGATGCATGCTTGGAGGAGGATTCCTTCTTTTTGCCCTTGGATGAGGGTTTCTTGGACTTGCCAGGGAACTGAGGCTGCTCACTGTTTTCCTTGTTACTATTGCATTCAGTGATATCCTGAGCAGTCAACTCATCCTCAGTAATGATCTTGAGTGGGTCATAGATGCTGATTCGATGCAGGCGTCCATCAATGTCTACCTCAACAATCCGCTGGGCCTGAGCATATGTCAGGGTTTCCCGGGTGGGTGAACACTTGAGACTATAGGGGGACGGGGAACGCCGGCCCTCGGCATTCTGCCGTGACTTCCGACGAGGCTTCCTCATGGCACCTGGGAACCAAGGAGACAGACCTAAGGAGAGAAGGCCAGGAACTGTGAGCTAGGTGTCCATGCATGTGTGTTCCTCTTCACCCTTCCAAGTGGCCACTGAGAGGACTGTTTGTTCCCTCTGCCTGAACATGCCTCTCAAGCATCCACAAAGCTTTACCCTCTTTATGTCTCCACAAACATCATTTCTCAGTAAGACCTTCTCTGATTACTCTACCTAGAATGGGCTGGGGATGTGGTTCAAGTGGTAGAGCACCTGTCTGGCAAGCACAAGGTCTAGAGTTCAACCCTCGGTACCACAAAAAAAAAAAAGTTAGCCATCTTAACTAAAATTGCAAATCCCTCTCTTCCACCAACAATGGACCTTTCATCCTGCTTTTTTTCTGTAACCCATTTACTACCATGCTATGTAATTTACCTATTTACTATGTTTATTGCTAGCTTCATTCCAATAGAATATAAGCCTCATGGGTGGAGGGGAAGAAAGGGTGGAACTTTTGCCTGTTTTGTTCACTACTGTATCTCCAGTTTCTAGAGGGGATGCCTAACTCCTAAGCAATCACTGAATAAGCACTAGGTGAATGATCTCTGTCCTCAAGGAGCTATATCTGATATTCTAATATTCTATAATATTTTAATGATACACCTAAGGCTGTGAGACAGCTATGAAAAAGGAGAGACTGTTTAAGGCTTCAGAAAAGACAAGCTGGACACAGTGGTGCATAGTCCCAGATACTCGGGAGACTGAGAAAGGAGGACTGCAGGAGCACAAGGCCAGCCTGGGCACACAGCAAGGCAAGAAGTAGGGGGAGTAGGGAAGGGGGAGAAGAAGAGAATGAAGAGGAAAACCAGAAGGAGGAGAGGAAGAAGGACACTGCAACAGCATCCATTCAAACAGCATCATTTCAAATTCTGCACACACACTTGGCCCCCATCAGAGGATCAAAATTTCACAGGTCTAGAGCTGGTGGTAGAGCACCTGCCTAACAAGCCTGAGGTCCTGAGCTCAAACTCCCAACCCATCTTACATATTCAGAAGCCCAGAATGGACATCTGAAATGACTATCAGGTGAGGGCCAAGAGCTTCATTCTATAGTATCATGATATCCCCTCCAAAAGGCAGCACCCAAGACAATTAGCTAGTATATTTCCAAGCAGAAACTCTGCAAGCTCTAGGAGTGGCTCCAAAAGACTGAAATTGTAAGTGGCCTGTCTGGGATCCTCATTGGATCCAAGGCCAAAGTAATTAGGGCAATACCTATCTGATGTAAACCTTCAACGAATTATCACCTCAAAAGCCCCCCTCTCCTAAAATACTGTTTATCATGTCTACCCTTGTATAGCAAAGTGAAAGACGGAAAGTTTTCCACATCATTTTCTGAATGGAGGGAATGATTATAAGCTCCTAAGGAGCTATGGTAGGCAATTATCAAGGTCATTACTACCATGAAGACTTAGTGATATAAGGCCCCATAGTATGGGCAGACTTAGAAAGCTATGAACCATGGGAGAGGACTTCAAGGAAAAAAAGAGTTCCCTGCTGTGTTGCAGGATCTGCCATCTTTATAAAGCAGAGATGGTGGTGATAATTTAGCATACTTTTACAAGGCCCCTTTCCTTTCAGTATGCCTCACAACTACTTTGGGAGCCAGTATAGACATCCTCAACTTAATTTTATGGGCAAAAAAACCAGAAGCTCAGAAACCCACTCAACTGAAAGCTAGTAAATGATAAATCTACAGTTCAAACCCAGATCTTCTCATCTGCTCAACATGGAGGTAAAATCACCACCTAGAGGCCATGATCTGGTACAAAAAGAGGCTCTTGGGGCAATCAAGTTTCTAATCTTGGCTCTAGGTGACCTGGAGAAAGTCTCTTCATGTCTCTGTACCTCCATCCTCCACCAATAAAATGAGGGGCATAGGCCCTCCTCTTAAGGGTTGTTATTTGATATTTAGGTATTGTGAACATCCTATTTAAAAGCTCTTCCAACCCCAAAGTGTGGCTCAAACAAACAACCTGGGCTGAGCACCAGGCCAGGCAGGCAGGCACAGATCCCATCTGGAGCCAAGGGGACAAAACCATCCCAGTGATTCTGTCCGGGTTCCAGAGACCCTTGCCCACTAGCCGCCGTACAAATGGCATGTCCTCAGAGCCAGCCTTCCAGGGTGAGGTGGGGACCCCTCCCCTCTTCCCACTGCCACCTCCAGGCCGCCGGGACTCCCGACCACCCAGCAAGCACCAAGACACTCGCCATTCCTGCCCTCGCCTGGGGACGCGGGGACAAACCCTGGAAGGGGGGGCGCTGAGGGCACCGCGGCGAGTTCGTCCACACGGAGCGGTCTAGGCGACTGTTTTGGCGGGAGTTTCTCAACCTACAGAGCTCCTCCCACAGACACACCCCAAGACCCCCCCAGCACCCCAAAACATGCTCTCTGCACCCCGTGATCCCCTCACTCGCCCCTCCCACCCAGACCCCACCCCCCGAAGACTGAGGAGTTTCTGCAATTACAGGCAACCCCCTGCACGCCAACACAAGATACTCCGGAGACGAGGGAAAATCCCAGCTAAGGCTCCTGCCCCTTTCAGAAGGATCGTGACCCCCTCGAAGGAAAAAGGAGGGAAAATAACACCTCCTCCCTAGAGTCGAGGGCGAGCGCACCACGGACAGACGCGGAGTCCGACCCTCACACAGAGAAAGCAAGAGCCAGCGAACCAGCCAGGCGGAGAGGCGAGCGCCTATTGGCTGCCTAACCTGCCCGTGAGGGGGAACCGGGAACCCAAGTGAGGCACGGGGGGGCGGAACCCTCCTCTGACCCAGCCAATTGGAGAGCGTGGTGGGGGCGGGGCTTGGTGCCTTGGCTTTCAGACCGGGGGGAGACAAGATGGCGGGTGCGGGAGGGGGTCCTTGCTTTTCAGCTCCCCCCCTCGCCCGCCTTCGCCTTCCCCACCGCCGCCCTCGTTCCAAGGGAGAGCTTTCGCGCCGCCCCCACCCCGCTCGGGAAGCTTCCCTCCTTCCCCGGTTGCTTCCCCCCCTGCCCCGCGCAGTCCCTGGGCCTCGTAGGCCTCGTTGCCCCCGCCTCCGCTCTGTGCGGCTCCGCTGCCGCCCCCATTACCTCAGCCGCCGGCCGAGCCCCGCCGTTCGGGGCCCCTGGGCGCGGGCAGGCCGGCCACAGAGCAGGTCGGCGCAGCCTGAGGAACTGAGCGCGGTTTCCTCCCGCGCCGGCTTCCACGGCCTCCGCCGTGCCCCCTCCCGGCCTCACTGGGGCCCCGGCCCGGCCGCCGCCGCCGCCGCTCCCGGGGGAGGAGGGGGAATGGAGCAGCCGCCGCCGCCGCCGCTGCCGCCACGGAGCCGGGCCGAGGGGAGGGAGGGATCAGCCCCCAGGCAGGATCCGCCCCTCCGGCCTCCCCCCGCCACCTCCACCCCTTCCCTCGCTCCCTCCCAAGCTCCGCGGGCTCTCCCGCTGAACAGGAGCGAGAGCGAGAAAGAAGGGGGGAAACGGGAAAAGATCCCCCCCCGCCCGTGCCCGGCGCGGCGGCGGCCGGGTGGCGCGGAGAGGAGCGCGGAGCCGCGGCGCCACCGCCGCCGCCGCGGGGCACCGTCCCCGGCTCGGCCTCACGGTGGCGGTGCGGGCGCGGCGGGGGCGCGGAGCAGAAACCGGGACTGCGCCCGCCGCGGCCCCGCTTCACCCCGGCCCTGCCCGCCGCGGGGCGAGCTCGACCCGGGAGCTGGCGACGTTTGGGGTCGTATTGGAAAAGGCTGGGGTCCCCTCACTCCAGTCTTCCTCCCCCAGGGGGAGGTGGCTAGGGTTCGGGGTCACAAGCCCTCAGTCCTCTTTGGTGGGCCCCCCACAAAGGTTAAGTCAGGGCAGTTCCTGAGGCCAGAACTGGCATAGATAGTTTCTTAAGGTGCAGATGTGTGCATTGCGCCCAGAAAATGGGCCCCCCCACCCCCGCCCCGGGGACAAAGGTCTGGCGCTGTCCGTCCCCTCCCCCAGGGCGGCCGCCCGGAGGACCGCGCCTGTGCACAGGTGAGCCACCAGGGCATCTTGTAAGGCACAGACCGACTGTGCCTGGTGCGCCGCCCTTCTCCTTCTACGTTTAAAAAGAGTAAACATAAAAGTTTGGCAGTCTACTTAACGTCTGGTAATTCGTTTGTCACCGGAGGCGTGGGAAACACTTTCTTCTTAAATCTGATTTGGCCAGGAGTCGGTTAATTTCAGGCACTAGGCGGCTTTCTAAAAGATGCTTGACAAATGGCAGTTTCAGACTTTCAGATGTAACCAAACAGGCTTTTGTTTTGACAAAAATGTAACGAAAAGGGCTCCTTTGCCACCCCCTGGTAACCTGTTAAGTTGGAAAGCTTACCTCACGTGACTGAAGTCGGAAGCCCCAATATTTAGTGATATTTATAATGGATATATGGATGACTGCCATCAGATGTGAAGATGAGTGACATATTTTGAAAGCATCTCCTCTGCCCGCGCTGGGGATGGAGCTGGGGAGACTTTGTGACAATTGCTTGCTGGGTTCTGATGATCCAGGGTGCTGGTTCTAGAGCTGGAAGAATGAAGGATGAAGTGTTAGGGTCCAGGACTTCCCAGTGGTTAAGTTGAATGGACTGCTGCTTTGGTAAACCTTAAGTGTTCAGTATCCTAAGAAATTTAGGTATGTAGTTTTAAATGTAAAAGTTTGATTAAAGCAAGGGAGCTAGTTTGCATTGCAAAGGTGTTTTGCAAGTAGTAGTAGCATTTCTGCAAAGAGGAGTGTAAAAATACTTCTGTTAACCAGTTTTTAAGAAGAGTGACTTGTAAGGCTTAGTGAGGGCAGAGCAGTGTTTTGAAGCTGCGAAGGTGAAATGGTAGGAATTACTGTCAAGTGATACAAAGCTAGAGGGAATAATTTGGAGAGAAGGTGTGGAAGAAAAGATGATTAATTGTGGAAAGAAAGCCTCAGAGACTAGAAAATATTGCAATTACTTTTAGTTAAGGGGAAAAAGAAAAGAGATCTGAAGATGAACGGAAACAAAAATACTGAATTTCTTATTGTAAAATATGAAATATACCCACTTGTACATAGGACTAGTAACTTATTTCTTGAAGGTGTCCTTAAAATTTCTTCACCATTCCAACCCATGAGACTTGGAGGTTATCTTTTTCTACTAAAACGAATGAATAAGTAACCTTGAGAAAATGCCATGGCTCCAACTTGTCAAAAACATCGTGATTTCAGTGCTGCCACAAGTGTGTCCATCCTAACTGAAGTGATGTTCAGGTTTTTCTGTTCAGTGCTCTCATGTTAAGACCTTACTCAGCCCAGGGGTTTCTCTTCCACTTTCACCTACCACATTGTTAATGGTAACGCTATAGTTGTCCTCATTTTCATTTTTGACATTTGGAATTGGTTTTTATTAGTCTAACTGCACACATAAGCAGTTCACTATGATGCAATCTTAAATGTAACATGGAACAATTATGCGATTAAAAACAAATTGGGACCATGTATCAGAAATCCCAGAGGCACTAAATTGAATTCACTTTAATCTTTGGCTGTTTTACAGTGTAAATTCATCAGTCCCTGGCCTTTCCATTAAACCAATACAGCAATTAAATTCAACAAACAAGGGCACATACCTTTGATTCCGAATACCTCTTTGTTTGTTTTTTAAATCTTTCATCTGTAAGTAAGTCAAAACTTTCATCTGTAAGTAAGTCAAAACTAACTTACTTGGAATAAGAAAATGTTTTACCATTTAGAACTAAAAGAAGAAACATATTTCTCAGGATCTCTTCCTTAATGTTTCGCTGTCATCACTTGACTCAGGCAGGAACCCTCAGAAGGGCCAGGTCTATACTGGATTAATAAAATGTGTATGATAAGAAAAACTAGGCCCTGATTGGTGGTTAGATTGTTTTTTAATAGAATATTCTTTCCTTAGACACTTGGCTAAAATTCTGAAACCACAGTTGGGAGGAATGTTGGAATTATGTTATTTTTATGCTATGCTACAAATGGTTTAAAGAATATAAAGTTTGCCTAGAAAAGGGGAAATTTAGAGTAAAATTCTTTTTTATTTTGTTTTGTTTTATTTATTTCCTTTTTTTTTTTGGTGATACTGGGACTTGAAACAATAGGTCTTTGTTGTTTTTTTCGGGGTGGGGGGGTGTTTGTTTGTTTTTGAGACAAGGTCTCACTGTGTAGCCAGGCTGGCCTAAATTCACTGTGTAGCTAAGGCTGGCCTTAAACTTGAGATCCTCCTGCCTCAGCCTCCCAAATGCTGGGATTACATGTGTGTGCCCCCACATCAGGCACAATAGGTCTTAAATAGAATGCCACCTCCTCTAAATTGAGGTCCATCCATTTGTTCCTATCTAAAGCAGATATTTACTGACCACTATAGGGTGTCTAACGCTATGATACTTTCTTTGGAAAATAACAAAGTTTTGACCTAGAAAGGGACAAGTAAGAGATAGAATATTTTTTCCTGTTCTTGAGTAGTGTGCAATCAAGAAGCAAGCCAGAAATAACAAGAAAACACGTGCAGCAGAAATCAGACAAGGCAGTGAGCAGTGTGGAGCACATTATTTAAAGAAGGTTTCTTGGAAAGTGGGAAGTTTCTTCAGTGATGGATGTGAACTGGTGTACAGGATGGAATGACATTATTAGATTTGGAGACAGGGCAGTGCCAGCAAAGGGACAATATGCAAGCAATAATAAGAAAATTAACCTAGCCTTCTGTATGCACGGGCAGATATTAAGAAAGGAAGGATTGATTTGGGTGGGAGGTATAGCAAAGAAATAAGGATAACCGAAATAACACCCAGCACTTACCTGCTTGGGGCTTTACATACTCTATCAGGAATTTTTGTTGCACTTAACAGAAAACCAACTCAAACTAGTTTAGTGAAGGAAATCCATTGACTCTCATAACCAGAAAATCCAAGGCTGCGTCATCTAGCTTTCAGCAAGGTGAAGTCAAGGGACTTATTATAACATTGAGATGACATCTCTTGCCACCTGTTAGCCATCCTGACCCAATAGCTGATGTCAGAGACAAGCTGCTCTGGCAAGAGCTGATCATGTGTCTGCTACCAGAACCAGAGGACATGGCAGGAGGTAATTCTCCAGAGATGAGGCACATGGGCAAAATAGACCCATATGCACATTGTATCCCACTCAACCTAACTCTATGCAATAAATATTATTATTATCCCCATTAATATATAGGATAAGCAAGAGCCAGGAGAGCAGATAAACCAGGAAGAACTTACTATGGTAATTAGCCATTGTGAAAATAAAAAGGCATTAGCCAGAGGGAAGTTGTGGTAGAGAAAGGAAAGGAAGAGTCAAATCAGAGGGCAGAAGACAAACCAACAAATGGATGACTAAATAAGGGAAAGATAGATGAATCTAAGTTCTAATGAGAGGTTTTTACAATGCTGGTACAATCCTTGCATTTTAAGACATGGCAAAGAGTTGATAGCTCAAAAGCTCCTCTGGGGCTGGAGATTGAGGATGGAGGAAATGATGGATCAGCTCATGTTATCTGGAGCCACTTTTGGTCATACTAAGATATGTATCCATTCAATAATTACTTGTGAGCAGCTGGCCAGGTTCTGGTTTATGTCTGTAAAGGCCACAAAGATGAAAAGGGTATACTTTCAGACTTGAAGGCACTTATCATCATCTGTCATAAGAATAAAGCAAGTGGATTAAGTAATGGGAACACACAGAGTATAACAGAACATGAGCACTTCAAGAGAGATGCAAGCAAACTGGCAGTTTGGAGAAGTGTAAGCTTGTGTTTGGAGAAAAGGGAAGGTTCTGCAAATAAGGTGCCATTGGGGCCAGCATGGCAGTATATGCCTGTAATCCCAGCTACTTAGGAGGCAGAGATGGAGAAAATCACCGTTTGAGGCCAGCCAGGGTAAAAAGTTAGTGAAACTCCATTTCAACAAACAAGCTGGATGTGATAATGCAGAAGGCACAGGTAGAAGGATCTCCATCTGAGGCTGACCCTGTGCAAAAACAGGTGACCCTATGTGAAAAAGAACTAAAAAGAGTTGGGGGCGTGGCTTAAGTACTCCAGTGGGGTTGGGGTGAGGGCACAATCTGAATTCCACCTTAAAGCTTGGGTAGAGCGTCAGCCAGAAAGGCACTCCAGAAAGGCACTTGCAGAGTGTGGCTCAGGCTGGGGCACTAACCTGAGCAAAAAGAAATGTGTGTCAAAGAGCAAAATTTTACCGAATTGAGTTTTTATTAGCAATCTATGATTGTGTAGCAGCCAGTGTATAAAACAGAAAGGAGCTGCTGCAG